CTGTTCCTATCAATCTAGCTAAGGATACAGTTCCTTTCCCGTGGTCTAGCCAAGCATGACAGTAAGGACGGGTGATCACCACTGCCTCTGCACTTTTTATCTTACTCATCACTTGAAACATAAATGGATGGAGCCCAGTCATTCCATCCTGGTGAAAAATGTGTGAGCTKGCGAAAAGTGTGAGAATCCTCAATTATACAGGCTGCTCTCTGTTTCTGTCTAATCCTATATATAGGATTTAATGGTTCTTATTATAGTGGCACCTGAGGGCCAAAGAGTCTCTATCTTGCAGATATTTGCTGAGCTGCCCTGTTTTTTTGCCCCATGACCCTGAGAGTTTTCTCAGATTAGATTCTTTCCTTTCTACTAGAAAAACACAGACATGATAACTACTGACAATTGTAGATGGGAGGAATGGTTATCTTGAACAAGCACTAAGATGTGGGTGGACATGGAGAGACTGTCCATCAATTCCTCTCTCATCATCTGTGATGTGTTGGAAAAAACAAAGCATACTCCTCACACATTTGCACAGGTGGGGGGAAAGAAGGCTGGAAACTTGTGGCTTCTAGCAACAGGAGGAAGGCTCCCACTCCTATCTGCAGATCTGCACCTACGAAACATTGAATGCCCGGCAGCAGGGTCCAGGAGCTCAGTCCAGGAAAAAAGTTGCTAAGCCTGAACTTGCAACAACACCTGGTGGAATCTACAAGTGACAGCAGGGGCAGACTCCTGCTGTGGGAAGAAGGTCCCCATAGGCTGACATCACCCACCGGAAAAGGGCATTTTCTTCTTGCTGGGGCATTATCTATGTGTCTCAGATACTGAAGACTTGTGGGGTCTTAGACTATCATCCTTTGCTACTCTTCCACATGGGCAGCAATGACATTGGTCATAGAAAGCTGTGAACATTTTAGGCACAGCTCTATGGCTCTGGTGGTGAGGCTCAAGGACAYAGTGGGCCAGGCCTTCTGGTCGATCCTGCCAGAGAAAGGAAAGACAGGTCTTGAGGAGAAGAGACTGCAAATTATCAACTGGCATCATGCAGCTGGCATCAACAGGAATCTTGTCTTTATAAGATCCCATCCGAATGTCGACAACTGCTAGGAACAGACAGGGTGTTCCTGAAAACAGGCAGCTACAGCAGCTCTGCCGTAGGACTGGCAAACATGATAAGGAGAGCTGTAAATTTGGAATGACAAACCAACGGGGAGGGAAATGACTTCCTACAATCAAGTAAGGAGGTGGTGTGGGAGGGGGTGCAATGAACAGAACAGGGTGAAAGAGGTCAACTTATGCAAAAAAGGTCAACTTAAGCAAATAGCCATCAATAAGGGAGTGCCAACAGTATGGCATTATGGAAAATGCTCTTGTATCTTTTTCTGCAATATCAGCTCAAACTGGTGCTTTATCTGACATGCTTTTTCATGAATGCAAACAGCATAGACAACCAATACGGGGGATTACAAATCTTAATTCAGTTGCAGGGCTACAATATCTGATTGGGATCACTGTCATGTCATGRCATAGTTCACACATGGGGTACAGACAGTTTAGTGAGGACTGGGAGGAAGGGGAGGAGCTGCCCTTTTGTGAGAGAGCAGCAGTGATGCATGGAGCTCTGCCTTGGGAAATGTGGGATTTGGTTGAGAGCCTGTGGATCAGGAAAAATACCTTGCTGAAATGAAACATTATAATAAACTTGGAAGCAAGCTCCATATGTTTTCTATGACAGTTACAGTTGGAGGAGGTTCATTGTGTGGAAGAATTCTCATGCTGTCTCAAGATGTTCAGAGTGGTGCTCATGACATTTTACAATGCAGCTCATGAACAATACAATCTGCAGTCTGTCTGCTCTCAGGATATCTACAATTTCCAGCTGGTGATGCTTGTTCTTGATCGCAATGAGTACAACCTCAGCTGGAAATGTKCCTCAGGTGCTTCTTATCTAAAACTGGAGCACTGATTTTTGTTTCATACCCATCCTTTCTATCCATTGTTACCCAGACATCTTAGATCAGACTTGCTCCTTTGGCTGCTTGAAAACTATCTTTTGATACCAACAGGGCGAGAAGTCACAAAAACATTTACTGAATGTATATATGTTCAATTATACCATTATACTACATCATAGGACAAACACTAAATAATACATTCTCTTTCAGACACACACCCATACTGTTTATGTAAAACTTGATAACACCAGTCAGAAAGCCAACAGGATGCCATTTTAAGGAAGATTTTTTATCATACATGTTCTCACATGTTTGGAAGAGGCAGGAGAGAAGAGAGGAGTGAGCTTCATGTTGTACTTACACATTTTAGTTTCTATTTATAGTTAAAACACTCACAACTTGGTAAAAATCACATTTTCCAATTGCTTCAAGGCAAACTTCCTGCAGTAGCCTTTAAGGAACTTTCTTTGATTCCTTTTTTTCTTGTCTCTATAATATTTAAAAGATGGTTTAGGGTTATATCTTATTTTTCATAGCTCTGTATTACTGGTGCTATCAAATGCAAAGTGTTTCCTATGACTGTGCTCTTGTGTTGAGAAAAGTAACTTTTATGCCACAGATATTCCAAATTTTGGAGAGCTGTGTCCCTGCCAGTAACGTGAGGCTGGCTCATTCAAAGTGCCACGGAAATATCTGCTAGGACAGAAGTATTCGTTTATAGCATATGGACATGAAGTTTTAGGCTTACAAGAGAACTACTKTTAAAAGTCACCAGAAATTGTTTTGATACCAGAACTGAGAATCAAGACTGGTGACTGATTAGCAGAACATCTATTGCCAGAGGCAATAATCAAGAGGCCAAAAGTTAAGTACCTGAAAGGGTTTGCTTCTGTATTTTACTTTATTTTCACTTATCCCTGTTATCCCTAGGATGCTAAATGAGGCATGCAGTACATCTAGTTTCCCTGTAACTACATGAAGGAAATGTTTTTGAGCTCAATAAAACTCAAAATCATAGTACAATGTTATAATTTCACTTAGTAAAAATATGTAGTTATGAGAGAGACTAGAAAGTTGAGGTCAAATTCTAGAGACACTAGCAAAGAAATTTGTCAAAGATGTGAATAAAGCCAACAAGGTCATCTTTGTTCAGGCCCAATGTGCCCGGATTCTTATGACATTTTGGCTTCTGATGTTTGCAAAATAAATAGGTACCATACATGTTTTTCCTGTGTGCAACAGTGTAATCATAAACCCAAGTTATTTTGTTGATTTATTTTTAAATAAATATAAATATTTTGGAATTAAAATTATAACTTCAGAACATATTAGGTCATGATGAAACATTTAGAATATATGTGGCTATGCAACACGTTTGGTTTCATGACAAACTTAATCTACAGAAGGAAAAATTCCATCACAGTTCATCACAGATAATAATAAAAAGCAAACTCCTGTAGGTGTAGATATTTATACTTCTTATGAAAGACCTCTACTTAATGGGCATAGCAATTTCAATATATGAAAATGGTACAACTACAGGGCAAATTAGAAAGAAAAAAAAGAAAAAGAGGAACTGTGAGCCTTCCTGAGACCTGCAAGGGCTGGCATACCCCTTCTTCTTTGGTTCTGCCAGCTGCCATATTTCCAGGGAAGTGTTGCTCTCCACTATCCCTCTATGTGTTGTGTCACCTTTTCATCCAAATAAATAATCAATGGGATTCAATTGCAGCCATTCTCAAGTCTTACTTATTTCATTGACATTGATAGAGATGTATTCTGAGGTGTTGGTTATTGTGCAGATAATATTATTTCTTATTTTAATAATTTGATATTGCTAYTTATGTAATCTTATTAAAATGTTTGTTTCTATTGCAAACATTTGCTTATCAAAGGAGTCAGCCTCAGTTCGCATACTGACCTACAGCAACTAATCTTGCTGTAGACAGTGCCATCTAATTAGTAATCRGGGAAACATGGTTAGATTTAATATATTAAGCACTAACTGTCAAACTATGGTATATCTATATCRTCATTTAGAACAAAAAGCTATAAATACCATCTTTCATTGAGCAACACTCCCACTGGGTTTTCCTTTGCTTATTTTGAGATTACAGTATGCATGAAACTTCACTATGTTGTGAAAATCTATTAAAGAAATTAGTTGATTGATGTTCTAATAACCACCCTATACCAAAGACAAGTTGGTTTCAAAGTATGCTTTTTTTAAACCGATAAAAGAAAGCTCTGTTGACTAGACATCGTTAAAATAAGACATGGGAACTGCCTTTTGTCTACCTGACACTGATGATGTGCGATATGCCCTACATTTTGGCTGTGGCTTTGTTCTCTGGTAAGAGAAGTACCAWGCTGATCTTGTAAAAATGCTCTCTTGCTGGTTTGACARYAGCGGAATTTACAGAGTCCGGAGCTCTGCTCCCCAGCCCTTTCCATACCCACCCCAGCAACAGTCCAGCTGAGGGAGATAGGCCAGTAGAAATTCCCCACACAATAAAATGCTGTTCTTCCTGCTTGCATCCCCACCTACCCCAAATACCCCTAACTCCTCACCTACCCCAACTCATGGAGGAACATCAGTGCCAAAAAAAAAAATAAAAAATTAGGAAACAGGGATTATCTTTTCTTCTTATGCAGTAACACAGATTGGCTCAGTCCTGCTGATCATAATGTTTTTAAAAGAAAAAGGTGGGACTTTATTTTAAAACAGAAAATGCCCTTTCTGTTCAGTAACAGAAGATAAGTTCTGCTGTGTTTGGGTAAAAAAAGAAAAGGTGTGTAAATTACAAGGGAAACCAAGCCGAAACACCGCGGTGACCGAGTCTCTCCGGGTCCGGGTCCGGGGAGCGGGCTGGCTCTGGGCCCGCCGGGCTGACACCGCTCAGAGCCGCTCCGGCGGATCCCCGGCCCGAAGGAGCGAGCAGCTCCCCCAGCGCTGGGGCGGCGGGTCCCGGGGCGGCCCTCGGGCGGGGCGAGGCGGGGAGGGGCGGCCGCGGGCCCGGTCCGCCACCGGCAGGGGGCGGGTGCTCCTCCGCACCTTCCTCCGGCTGCGCAGCGGCGCCGGCTCTGCTCGGTTCCTGCTCGGGCCGGGGCAGCCTTCGCGGCGCGGCCGCCGAGGGAACGCTGCGCGACGTGTCCGCGCCCTACGGCCCCGGTAGGTGCTCGCGTTCTCCGCGGGGCTGCGCGGATGGCGGCCCCTGTCCCTCTCCCGCCGGGCATCCCGCCGCATCGCTCTCCTCTGAGCGGGGCAGCCGCTGGCCGCCAGCCCCTGCCTCCGCTGCCGGCTTCCCCCGGCGGTGCCCCTTCCCCGGGCCGCCTGGCCCTGCTCCCGTCCCCTCCCGCCCCGGCAGGGGTGAGGCGGGCCGGGGCCGCGGGTCAGAGCCGGGCGCTGTCCCTGTGCCCGGGGCCCCTGGCCGGGCGGTTCGCTGGGCGGGGGTCTCGTTCCCGTCCCCGTTCCCGTYCCSGCCCGCCGAGGGGTCAGGCCAGCCYGGAGGCGGCGGAGGGGCCCGGAGCGAGCGCTGGGGGMCGCGCTGGAGGAGGAGGAGGCACCGGGGTCGGGCCGGCTGGACGCCCCGGTCCAGGGAAATGGGTGAAACGCTGGCAGCGTGGCAGCCCCTTCCTGCCGAAACAAAGTCAGCTCGGTGAAAAGAGATGGTGCTGCTGCTGCTCGGGGGTGGTGTTCCTGGATTTGCTCTGGAGTACGGGGTCGCGGACGCTKTTGGCGGATGGGTTGTGGGGCTCAGCCCTTGTTTAACTAAAACGCTGGATCGTTTTAGTTACAGAGAACAGCCGTGAACTCCTAAGGAAGTTGAATGTGCTGTTTGCGAGAGGTACTTGTGGAAGTAGCTTGTGTGCCTTTGGTTACTGGCCTCTGAGTTGCTGAAGTGGGAAAAAATATAGAAATTATTCTTTTTTCCCCTCTTAGGTAAATGCTACCATATGTTAAGCCACGTGTTTGGCTGAGGCGCTGAGGTGCTGTGTAACTAACCTGACTTGTTTATCTTCCCATTTTCTCACATTTAAAAGAGGTTAAATGGCAAAGTCATAACTCCAGACTTGGGTGAAGATCTTTGAATATCCAGTTATTTTTATCATTTGGAGTGGCCTGTAGTGCTGCACAGGCTTGGAGCCTGTGSTGGCACTTTGTTGGTGAACCTAGCTGACTGCTCCTCTTTTTTAACAAAATATTTATTTAATACTAATTGGGGAGTTATTTAGAAAATAATMAAAACCACAAACCCACACCAGAAATGGCTAGTTAATGACTGTACAACAGTCGTGATRTTTTCTTTTTTTTAAAGCTTTCGAAACTTCTCAAGGTATGAGCGTCTTCATTAGTACATATTTTCCCCCAGGGTTTTTTTTAGGTATGAAGAAATCTTTTTCAGCTGTTGGTTTGCATAGCTGTTCGTGTGGCAAAACAAGTTTTGTGACTTGCTATAGGCCTGCAGGTAGGCTCTTCACAAGCTAATAGCTTGCTGTTGTCATGTAATAACTTCTAATCACTTCAGAACCAAGGAAGCACCTGTTTGTTGCATCTTCCATCTCTTTGCAAAAGTCCTGACCGTTTCACCCAGTAAGAGTGCAGAGTAAATAGGTCTTAGTAATTGCTTCACAGAACCGAGAGTTCCTGCCCAGCCCCTCTAAGTGCAGCCCAAATGCTTCAGGGCATATGTGCTGTATGTACAATGATAGAATGGTTTGGGTTGGAAGGGACCTTAAAGACAGTCTAGCCCCACTGCCATGGACAGGGACACCTTTCTCTAGACCAGGTTGCTTAAAGTCCCATCCAAACCTGGCCTTGAGTGCTTCCCGGGATGGGTTACCTACTCCCTCTGACCCCTGTGTCTAATCACATCCCAATACGAACCTGAGGTACACCACTTGTCACTGCTCTAGTCCCTTGGACTTTCGGCCACTGACAGCAGCTCTTGGAGTGCAGCCATCCAGTGACCACTCACAGTTAATGAGAACTCTTAGTGCTTTAAGAAGTGGGATAATGTAGACAGAGTTAAAACATTTTAGTAGAACTTTTTTTAAGTATTAATTTTCCAGAGTGAATTCCTGAATGCTTAGTTTTTAGGTTTTTGGGGAAATGCTCACATACTATACAGGAAAGGGATTTTTTTTTTATAAGATCTTAAGATGGATTGATACTGTGCAAAAGTATTTGTCTGCTTGCAGATTATTTTGTAGCCTGAAGAYTGAGCATCCATAAAATGAATCCATAGCAGACACAGAGAATTGTTCTTAAAGATTTAAATTGATCAAAGAGAATTTGTTATTCAAATAGAATTTAGATTCTAGGTTTTTTAAACCTTCAGTTCCAGTGAAGTGTGGGGATTGACATGTGAGTGGAGTGTAATGGCTGCAAGTCTTTCTACTACTTATATTGGTTATCAGTGTGTCCGTGAGTCATTATATAAGTGATAAGTATGTTCAGTTTGGAGTTTTCCACTAAAATTTGCTGAGACTGTGTAGGATTTGAGGCATAATTATTGTAAACCTCCATGTTTTACCTGCCAGTAGCTAGCTGCATAGTCCTGTGATAGTTGTTTTGCTGTCAGCAGTACTGGAATTATTGTAATTGTTTTGCAGTTTAGAAGAATCTGTCTGAGAAGTCTTACATTGATCTGAAACCAAGATTATACATACATTCTCAGAAAAAATGTAATTTGCATTAGTGTTAGAAATCTGAGAGTCTTGTGGTGAGACCATAACATGGGTGGACAAAACTAGCAGCTAAATGCTGCTGCACTTTACCTCTCAACACTCTTGAAAGTTGCCCTCTAATCTGTCTTAAGTTATMTTCTCTTTTATGGCAATAAGTTTCCTTAGTGAGCAAAATCACGTGGGCTGGAGCAGCCTGGCAGGTGAGCTCACCTATCTCATCAATTTTCCTAATAGCTTCCTAATACCATGTAGGCCTGAGGTCCTGTGATGTGAGAACACGACAGATGGGTGATGAGGAAGTAACTTCAAACTGGTATTGATGCTTGAAATAACACTTATCTTAAGCATCTGTAACCTATAAATAGGTTTTCCTGGCTTCCTGCTTCATCATCTAAAATTCTGYGTCTRACCACAAATGCAACCATACCCTTCTCATGCTTTTGTTAAGGATGTATGCATCCTGAGAAGACTTAAGGATTTTTTGTTGTTGTTGTTAAARTAAATAAATATTTTGCTGGGGAATTTGTGGCTCTATTTCCACCCTTTAATTTGTTTCCATCTGCTTGTGTCTTGGTGTTATCCACAAATTTAAAAATCTTATTTCTTCAGTAGTTCATTGTTGTCTGTATTAAATGGTGGATGACTGTATGAAATGATATTTCACCCAGGGTWCCTGAAATTCAGTCACAGCACAGTTTTCACAGGACATTAACAATAGTTACTCCTTTGGAATTGTGTTTGCTCCCCATATACAGTACTRTATTTTTATAATGCAAATATAGTTTGTATCTTTGTTTGCAGACTGAGCTGCAGCTTAGCATTTTCCAGCCTTGGCCTCACATATCCTCAATACCAAGAGAATGTGAAATAGGCTTCATGGAAGAGAGGAGAAACTTTCGAAGACTGTGAGGACAGAGGGAGCCGCTGGAGTAAACTGCGCTGCATTTAATGTGACTTTTGAGTCAGTTTTAGTGGCAGAAAGTTGCACAATGTGTTTAAATGTACAAACACATGGTAGTTCTCATGACAGTCTAGATAAAATCTTAACATCAAAATACATAACAGYCTCCTTTCTATTCATAAGACTTGTTTTCTTGTGACTGGCTGCCTTCCTTCCCTTCTCCCACCCTCTCTCCAGTTGTCTTTTGTCTGAGGCAAAAGTAACCATCTCCTAATAACAAAAGTTTTTATTTTTTATTTTGAGCTGCTTTGGTATCCCCAGTTATTTGAGTCATCATTTCACAAAGGTTTAAGCTGGTTAGCTAGCATTAGCTAATGTTAGCTAGTATTGCTGCTGCTAGAAACCCTCTGACCTGCTCCCAGACACTTTAATCTGCTTTCGGATCAGCCTTGATACTCTTGCACTTTCTAGGTGAGGTGGTTGAGGGAGCTGCTGTGGCTGCTTGTGCGCTTGCTGGTCAGCTGAATATCGGTGACACATGAATGATTTTGGAACTGCATTTTAGTTGATTCAGGCAGAAGTTTATTACAGGAGTTCCTGTGACAATTGGTGAATTTCTCTTAGAATGGCATGACCCAAAGGGGATCTCATCAGGAGTTGTTARAGTATGCAGTGGTAGCATAAAAGCACCTTCCTGTCAGCTGTGTAGAGTATCAGTGGTGAGGGCACTGGAGTAAGCACCTTTCCATCACTGAGGGATGCTGTTCCTCAAATGAGTTTTTGTGTGCTTAATGTGGCAAATTTTTACATGCAGTAAATTGCTATACAACATAATTTCAGCTTTCCCCACCCATAATGATGCTTAGATTTCTGTCTCAAAGGACAGAAAATGTCTGTGTTGGATTTTAGTTAGTGGATAYATACCAGTTGTTAACTAAATATTAAAGTGTGCAAATTATGCAAACATATATTTATATGTCACTAAATTTTTTTTTCTCTGTGAAATTAATTCCTCTTAGATATGGCTTATCTTTTTGGTAGTGGTTACTGTAAGATTGCTCCCATCAAAGATGTAGGTTATGGATTTTTATTCTGATACCTTCTCTGCTGGGTGCTCTTCTCAGAAATCTAAAAACTACAGGTTCTGGGGCTGTCCTGTGTGTTTTCAGGAGGAAGAAGTGAGTCACTCTAGAGCTGTTAAAGAAGCATGTCACTGATTTCCTCTCAATTTTCAAGTATCTTTCACCTCATCACTCACTAATGATGGCSTGTGCAGTGCTAATATGACCCAGTAGCAATGACTTGCCTGCACTACAGAAGCGCTTTGGCTCTGAGTGCCTTATGCTCATGGAGGTTATCAGGCAGCAGCAGCAGTCTCATATATGCATGTGATCCCATTATACAGTATCTTGTAGGCATTGAATGACCCTTCTGTGTGTTGAGCCTGTTGCTRCTCCTTCTTCCCACAGATGATGTGCAGTACTTTCTCTGCTGGGTGCTCTGCTCAGCCAGTGACATGCTCTTTTAATTCTGCAAAGGGCCAAAAGCAATCCAAACACTACCTCACATGGGAGATGAGT